GAGTTTCATAATCATTTGGCTTGAATTAACTGCTCGTGTGAGCAGTGCTGTATATACATGAAGGCAAGAAGACTCCACTAGAAGGTGAACTCTCAGCGTGGGAGCTACATGACACAGCTGAAGGCCATAATACAGAGTATATGGATTTTAACCTTTCCTCCTTTCTCTTTTCTTTCCTCCTTTCCACTTCTCTTCAGCAGTTCTGTGATCTCTCTTTCCGAGATACGCATAGAGGAGGACTTCCTCACGGGGTGCAAAGGAAGTACAGTTTTTAGTCTTCTAGGCCCTGCTCCTTACTCTGTCACACGCAGTAATGTCTTGCTAGTTTAAAAACAGATGATGATTAATCTTCTCAGCCCTGCTGGGTAGTTGCTAAGAGAACCCAAGTTCCAAATCCAGAGACCTTGTCTGAGGGTAATTAAGCTGTGAAATTGAGTGTCTGTGCTTATAAAGGAATTAGACATAACCTTCTGCTCTTTTGTGAAACCTGTTAGGAAAGGGTGAGATTTTAAAATCAATCAGTGCAGTTTTATTGGGGCACTTTAACTTAAAATTGGTAACCGTAATTTTTTATTTTCCATTCAACATTTGTTCATGCCGGGTTAGCATACGCAATGTCCAGGTGCTATTTTTTTTTTCTTTTTACTGTTTATGAAAACTTTCCTCTTGCTGTTCAGGCTATTCTTTTCAAGGTTTTGCTTTTTGTCTGCTGTCTTCCCACTTGCCACTTGTCTGTCACCTTAAGGTGTGGATGAAGTCTCCACTCTAGCCTTCCCTTCACCTGCACGTGTGAAATTCTGCTAATTTCACTGTCAGAATAAGATCGTAGAAAGACCTGGTGCTTCCACAGGTAACGGCTAACCTGACAGATGCCTTATGCAAATAGATAAAGAATAGTTTAAGAAATTTGTGTGACATGAGGATTGAAAGTAAAAGAATAATTAAAGGAAAAGCATATATTGGTAAAAGGATAATAATTATTACTGGCTTTGTTTGAAATGTATGATGAGTCAATTTGACTACATCTGTTTAGGTGTCATACAAAATTCACCTGACATAAACATTCCTTTTTTGGCTTTGTCGAATTGTCATTAAGCGTTCTTAAACTGGCATGCCGACATGTTGGTTTCTTTAGTTCATTTTTTTGCACAACTTTTGTACTGCCTAAATTAATCATTCCCTTGGGCTAATCTTGATGGTTATTGGAATATAATATGGCAACTGTTTACACATGTAAGAAAAAAAAATATTTCTGTGTTATGTTAATTGCCGTTGGTATATTAATATGACCCCAATTTTCATCCTTGCTGGTCGAGGACAAAATGAACTCGGCTCTTCAAAGCTGCAATTCAGTGAAACACGCAAGCATACACTTAAGTTTAACCATATATACTGTGCTGCAACTACTTGCTGGAAGTACACAGATGCTTAAATGTTCTGCTGAATGTAGTGACACTTAACCTTAAAGAAATATGGAGTGTTTTGCTGACTAAAGCCCTCACAGATAAATGATCTGCCCACTCCGATTCAAGCATGCGCTGCTGTTGCATAGAGCATAGCTTTCTTGAGAACCCTTAGATGGACAGCGATGAACATAAATACTAGCCACATGACTCATGGTGACGAGAGAAAATCAGACTGCACGCGCAGTAAGAAAAAGCTCTGATTATGTCAGGCTGAGTTAGAATAAACTCAAAATCGTCCTAATTGCAGCCATTAACTTCTTGTTGACACTTTGCTTCCTCACCTCCCCCCCCTTCAGTGTTGGTCATTATCGTACAAATTGTCATATCTCAAATTAGTGCTTTGAGAAAAGAGACAGATCTTTGCACCCTGTTCTGGAAAGAACTTAGCATATACTAAAGTGCTATAAAAAACCGTAATGTTACTGTTACTGTTTTAAAATATACTATGTGTGAGATATCATAAGAGAACCGGACCACCCCTCCTCAAGCTCCCCCAATATCTGCCTTAAACTCTTCCTTTGTAGCTCATGACAGTGCAAGTCGTACATATGGGGGGTTAGAACTGGGGGCTCAGCTCTATTAAACTCACTGCCTTCAATATTGTGCAGGTTATCTGATAATTTATTTTAACCCCCCTGCAGTAAGACCACAGAGTCCAAGTGGCATGTGCTTCCCTTTACAAATATCAGTGATCACTAAAGACATTTCTTCCTCTCGATATTCCTGTGATGCCAGCTATCCAAATGGCCTAATTAGCCTGTCTGCTGGCATGTGTTACTCTTTGGATATCATGAGAACAAAGTGCAGGGCAGCTGGACACCTGAGCAGAGTTATTGAGTTATACTATTTCACTTTAAAATAGAACTTGTCTTTGCGTGTTACCTATTTCTTAATTGTGTTCTTCTAGCTTTTTCCCTTCCATGCCACCCCGAGCTAGACTGCCCTAGTCTGTGCCTGTGCCTTGCAAAGGGAACTTCCTTCCTCGCTTCCTCAGACTGAATACTTGAAATCAGATGGTGGGGTGGAGAAGCAGGAAACGTTCCGGCCTTCCTTCTTCCCTTCGTTTCTTTCTTCTTCCCTGATTAATTTGGTAAACATTTCTAGTGTATACTCTAATGATCAAACATTTTCTTCTGGTTGCTTACATCTTTTCCAGTCTCCTGAAGGCATATTGGTTAAACTAAACCAAAAATTATGAGAAATATTAAATGCATTATCTTCTTCCTAGATTTACAGGAAATACGAAGTCTAAACAATGACATTACTACAGCACTTGTAATCTGAAGAAGCATGCCCCTCACACACAGGTCTTTCTTTTTTTGCATTCAAAATTTTACAGGTTTTATTTTATGAAGTCTGTCAAGTACTTTGAAAGAAGAGTGGACTGTCTAAGACGCGGGTCATGTGCGTGAAAACAGACTAATTATGCTAACCTTTAAAGCATATATTTAAGACAAAACTTTTCAATGTAAAAAGATGATAATATGAATCATGTTAATTTCAGCATGGACTGTAGCTCTATCACAAATAGGATTATTTTATTTCTGTTCTACAAACTAAATGCCTATTCACAAATGCTTGCAGTTTGCATGAGGAAATCTAGGTTCAGTGCAAAATAAAAGGTTATCACCCACATAAGAACTGTGAAAAAGGACGACTGCCGTGCTGATATTGATTCCACTTGATTTTTGATCTTTGCATACTGTCACTTTTTTTTTTTTTTTGAGAGTTGAACCTTATGAGCATCAGCCAGTCCAGCAAAGGTGGTAAGCATGTGTTCAGCTTTGACCTAAGTGGGAACATCTATCTGCTTATTTCACAGAGCACTAAATGCTGTTCTGGATTATATGCTGAATTCAGACCTTGCGCTCATTCCCCTTGTGAATTTAGCTTTTAACTTCACTAGGAAGAAGATCAGATACTCTGTCAAAATCTTTGTTTTTAAGAAGTAATTAAAGTTTTCCAACTTTCTCTCATACTGTTTCAGAGCTTGGCTTATAAAACAAGGCTGGTAATTGAGGTCAGGTGCTACAATGTTTTGCTGCTGTTTAGTGTGACCTAATAAAAGTGAATTTTCCTAAAATCATGGGTTTCTCTTTTTGTTTCTTTTCCCTGTAGAAATGGCATTTTTGTATGGTTGAGGCTGTTTTCTTTCTGACTCGATTTTTTTTCCTTATATCCATAGAGATATAGAACAGTCTGTATCCTACCAGAGGAACTGAACATTAAAACAGTCTTTCATGCTGAGGTTGAGGTAGTGTTTCTGTTCTACCTTTTTACCTCAGTCCTGGAGCAAAGCCTATGGATTCAGATTTTCCCAGTATTATACTCTTCTCTCAAGTAGAGCTAAAAAATAATAATTCTGTCTATTTGAGACAGTATGTAGTCAGCTGTCATTGTATTGACAGGTTTGGCTGCTTATTTTGCTTGGGTCCCAGTAATGTAGCATTAGAGAGCAGATGTTCCTGGTGTAATCTGATAGTAATTTTTACTCTATTTTCTAATTTCTCGTCAAGGATAGATGATTTGATGAGACCAAGGCCTCTGTCAAACCTCCACCCTACTCTACCTCAAGCTGATCCCTTGACCTGAAAGAAAGAACAAACAGTTCTGCAGTAAAATTGTTCCGTGGTGTGCTGTACCTTAGTTGTGTTTAGATGAATACAGAGCACCAATAAGATCATTTTAGATAGTCTCTTTTGTCCTTGCTAAACTTTGTCTATGATTGGAAAATAATTTTATAGCAGATTTAAGCACACATTTTTAAGAGACATTTGGAATAGAGGCTTGTTGGCAGTAACGAATTACAGTATGCTGAAAAAGTTTGTAATGAGAATTGAGATGTAGAGGGTAATAAATGACGAAGTGGAGCTCTGTAGGAAAAGGTATCAGTACCAAGCTCGATTGCAGCATATGGTAATTTAAGAATTTTTCATGACAAAAGGGTTTTGCATATATCAGCAGACATGCAGTTGGAATTAGAGACTGATTTATCCCTGAGGTACAATTAATTAATTAATGGTTGTAGCTTCCATTTTATGATGTTGTTGTTGTTTGTTTCTCAACTGCCTCAGCTTGTGGTAGACAGCAAAAAATGTTCTGTGCATAGGCCTTTTTAGTTCTATAAACCTCTAATCGTTTTGTGCAGTCTGTTGGTTAAACATCAACGCAGGCATATGGACCAGATGGCATTGTATTTCTCAGGCTAAGAGCAAGGCATTCAAGGGACTTGTTCATATTAATCTATCCTCTTTTGTGACTGCTTTAATTGTTCATTATTTTAATTATTCTACAGAAGTTGTAATTTGTGTTTTTAATCGTACCTTTAAAGAACTTGTGAATAAATGTATTGTGAACAGATGTTAGTTTCACTACCTGTATCAACACTTTTATGCTGGATTATGATCGTACACCCTACCTTCTTCCTGAGATGTTAGAGGCCGCACGAAACACTCACTGAAAAATAGAAGAGTATTATAGGCAGTTTTGTTATGTCTGTGTATAACTGTCCTTACCTTCCCTCTGGTTTTACAGGGCACAATGACTACATGTGTCCTGCTACTAACCAGTGCACCATCGACAAGAACAGAAGAAAGAGCTGCCAGGCTTGCCGACTAAGGAAATGCTATGAAGTGGGAATGATGAAAGGTGGTATGTACACCGCAATCAACAAGTCCTCACCATTGGTGTCTGCCTTCCTGTCTTTTAACTTCATTGGACAGCTGATAGGGTTCCTAAAGGAGGAAGCAACTTATTTTATTGAGCTAAAGTGTATTAAATCAAAGAGCGATTAAATAGAAAATAAAAAACTCCCAAATACCATGTTATTAATCTCGCCCAAATTTGCATCAAAATTAATAGGAACATTGACTTCGATGGAATTAGGATTCTTCTGTTAATATTTTTAATTCGTTATTTTTTTGGTCTCTCGTGGTAGACTCCAGATCATGATGAATGAAACTTAACCCAAGATTTTGTAACTTTTTGCAGTTCAGGGTGAAAAGCACTGGTAGTCTCAAATCAGTCCATATTAATTAAAATAAACTTCTGAATATGTACTACTTGTTCTGTGAATTCTGAAACAGCAAGTCAATTCATCTATTCCAGTACTGTACACATATTTTATAGAACAGAATCACAGAATCATTTGGACTGGAAGGGACCTTTAGAGGTCATCTAGTCCAACCCCCCTGCGGTGAGCAGGGACATCTCCAACTAGATAAGGTTGCTCAGAGCCCCATCCAGCCTGACCTTGAATGCCCCCAAGGATGGGGCTTTCACCACCTCTCTGGGCAACCTGTTCCAGTGAATTATTATAGTGAATAATGCAGTTTTATATGTGAATTAATTTCACCCAACACTATTAAAGCTCACTCATTTTAGAAAAACTGAGATAAATGCCGCTTTCTTGGAACGTACTTATGTAATAACGATATCAGAGAAGAAGAATCAGACACTGAATGCTTAGGCTGAAGTGGAATACCACTAAATTACTTTATTTATATACACAGTGTTTAATTTTTGGAGGCAAAAATTAGAACTATATGACAATACTGAACAATTGCTACAGTGTGTTCTTAGATGGAAGAGTTCTTTTGTAGCATAGTTTTGGATCAATCATGATACCTGCCTTTCCTCTTTATTTACAGTACCTTATGTTTGTCAAAAGCAGACAGAAGTTAGCTATTTTTAATCACTTTGAAAAAGCCAAGCTCCTAAGAATTAAGAATATTTAAGAAAGGGAAATCATAAAGTTTCATATTCATTCTAAAGCAGACGAAAACCTTATTGTAGCCTACTAAACATTTCAGATTGCTTTTATTAATGAAGAGTAATCACTAGCATGATTGAAACCTATTCCTATAGGAAAATTTGGCAAACTAAGTGCTCAGAAGAGAAAGGATTAGAACCCATGTTTTAACTGTGAATGGAGCTAATTGTTAAATTACAGCATGGTTTTCCCTTTCTCTGGCACATCTAATGCTTACTTATTCCGCAAAAAATCTGGAGCAAGAGAGAGGAGTAGCTCATCATGTTTATCCTTCACACAACAGAGGATTTTTTATAAGTTCAGTCTGTGCAGTGAGGGTAGGCCAAGGCTGGGAATATTGGGAGAAAGGGTAAAGGGGAAAGA